AGTTGAAAACCCCACTGTTCCTCATTTAAAGGAAACAGATTTGAAATAAACACATGTGAGAGCCACAGATGAAGTGTGCTTAGCAGGCAACAGGTTCATTCATGCAGTCTCATAGGTTTTATTCTTCTAAGTTGTCTGGAAAATGACTACTTTCATGAATAGCATATGTTACGGATTGAACTGTGTCTCCCACCCCAAATTTATACGTTGAAATCTTAACCTCTGGCACCTCAGAATGTGACCTTATTTGGAAATAGGGTCATTGCAGATACAATACTCAGACAAGGTCACTGGGGTGGGCTCTAATCCAACATGACTAGTATCCATATAAAAAGGAAAATTTTGGAGACATGCATAAAGGGAAGATAACGTGAAAACAAAGGCAGAGGATGCTTTTGTAAGCCAAGGAACGCCGAAGACTGCCAGCCAACCATCAGAAGTTAGGAGAGAGGCATGGAACAGATTTCCTCTAAGCGCTCAGAAGCAACCTTTCCTCCAATACCAGATCTTGGACTTCTAGCCTCCAGACTGCAAGATAATAAATCTCTGTTGTTTAAGGCACACAGTTTGTGGTGCTTTGTTATGACAGTAATACAGTATATATGTGGGAATAAATCATAATGCGATTGGTCATAACAAAAGTGATCAAGTCAGTGCCTGGTTATTGTTCTTCCTGAGGGAAGAAGCTAAAGACTTACAGCCTTTTGGGAGATGCTTAAAGGAGACGTAGTAACACTTGGTGTTAACAAGGGGACTATTCACTTGGGACTGCCATGAGCAACCTCATCTGCTTCGATGGTACCTTATCAGAATGGAAGGACGTGTCCCTTTCCCTGAACATCTTGATATACTGCTTTACTAGGAGGAAAGCAGGCCCAGGATGTATAACCACCACTTCATTCTTCTGGCAGAAGAATAAAGGCAAAGTTGGTTCCAATTAAGCATGTGCTTTAATATCCATAAATTCTTTTTTTTTAAGGTTTTGTTATTTCAAATTTTTTAACATACATTTTGTACTTGGCAACCTTTATTTCTCTCCACTAGTTCCACCACTAAAATGAAGGACTGAAACAAAATCGAAACAACCCATGTCTCTTTTCTGATAATCAAACTGGCAAACAATGAAAAGGGCACGATGATCAGATACTGCGATAATGAATGGAGTGGATTCCAGTATGTGACGTGCAGGCCCCACAGGGTGCACGCTACATTCAGACTCAGAATGAACCGGAGGCCACACGAAATGGGACTGCAGTGTCTTCCCCATGGTCCTCGCTCCCAAGTCCTCTCTGCAAGAAGAACCAGCCCTCTGGACATGCTTCTGGTGAGGCCATTTTTTATCAACTGCTTTTCAAAGTCACATTCATTCTGACCTCATGTATGGAACAAAGCACTGAAACTCAGTATGACTGAAATTATTTACTTTCGATGGTAGATCTTGCAATAACCTATACAACCTTAATTAGAAGAACTGTCATTTGTGAGATAGACTACAATAAAAATGAGAGACAAAGGGTTTGGTGGCTTTCTCTTTATAACGTAGGGGGCTGGAGGTAACCCATCAGACAGAGGTGGTGGTTTCTACAGCCCAAACCAGTGGTTCCCTCCGAAGAACATGCTGTGTATGTTGCAAGAAGACAAATTCTTCTCATTTTCTCAGTATTTACACCCAAGGAAACTAACTGGGTCATCAAGCAAATAAAGGCCATGACACATACAACCATAGGATTGCAACACTGCAAAGGACCACTGAAAATGTAAGTAATCCTCCTTCCCATTTCCCTGACGTCCCACAGAACCTCCAGTTGATTCCTTCCAGCGACAATAGCTAACCATTTTGCAAAGTCACCCAACTCCATGGTTGGACAGCTGAATAAGCACTTCTATGTATAAATATGTGGGCCATATTGTGTCTATCTGATCTCAGCCTTCAGCCATAGTTGAAATTGATTGGAA